GTGATGAACCACGGCTGGAAGCCCGAGCGCATCGTCATCGGCATGGTCACCGAGCCCGATTTCGGCGACGACGTGTTCGTGGAGTTGCCCAAGGTCGCCAAGACTCTGCATACCCTTGTGGATAAGTACCCGACACTCAGGGGCATCGATGGGTTCGACTACTACGACCAAAAGCCGGGCGGATACCCGGCGCCTTGGGAGTGGCCTCGATGGGCGGCCCGGCAGATTGGAGCTGCTAACAGCACCGTCAGCACCTCGCCTACTTCCGTGCGCGAAATTTGAGCTTTAGAGCTTAAGTTATAGTAGACATCATGTCAATGTATATTCTGCAGATATAGAAAAGCTGGGGGTTTTCTTTCCCAGGATGCCATGGGGGACCCGCCTGCCAGGGATATAGTGTGTGGGACTCCGTTAAATTACTATTTATCTCCGTTCGAATAAGTTTTCCGATTTTGAAGCTCGTGATAATGATTTCCGTAAGGGCGAAACACCAAGTTCGGTCCGTCATGAATGCTTATAAATACGTCGTAAAGCTGGAACTCGCTCTCTCTCCACCGTCCGTTAGTATTTCCGCTTGCCCCTGACCCTGCCTTTCCAGCTGTACCATAATGTTCGAGGAATCTCGCGTGGTATGCAGGTATTGAAGTAAAGGAAGTTATTTCCACAATCCAGATAGCTTATATATTGAAGCAAGGGAAGAGGATGGCAGCGCTTAAAATGCGGCACATCGTCATAAACATGTACGTTGGATATGCTCTCTTTGAAGGCGAGTGGAATTACCTAGGTATCGTATGGTATTTGTACTACATGGACATTTTGGCATGGCACTGCACAACTAAATACACACTTAGTAGCGTATTTATATCCTACATTTGGTGCTGGACTAGAATACATGTAGGTACATACGAGTACCTACATACATCCATACAAGCACGTAAACAGCCCAATGAAAACTTCATACCTATTTTCCAGGTAGGTACCTACATGTAGTAAGGCGGTGTCCTGGTTACACTGGATAGCATGTGCCACTACACACGCCTCCCTTGTTTCCTAATTTTTCTTAATGCCTAGGTATGCTTTCTTTGAGAATGTCCAGTTCCTGCTCTCCTAACACTTTCCCTCCGATCGCACAGCCTGCCTTTTTCATCATGTCGGATACCACAGTCCTCCCCAGCTCCTTACGGTTGGCCGATTCATCCTATAGCTCACCGTACTCGCGTGCCGGAGCTCCAAGCCCGCACCCCAATACAGACCCCTATGCTCCCCTCCGCGCTAGCGCGCTCGCAACACTGGAGGCCATGGGTTTCGAGCCGAAAACTATGGTTGAACATGGTGTCCTATGGGCCGAGCATCAGGATCCCTACGGTCATGTCATGCACACACAATTCATGCACTTTCTAGGCGCTTGCTTCTATCGCATTATGGAGGGCTACGACGAGTACCTCAGCAAGGAGGAATGTGATGGCATGGTCCAAGCAAAGACCATCATTCCTGCAGTCCGGAAGTATGAGTTGAGTATCCGGAGGCAGGTCAAGTATCCTGAAGCGGTGGGTAGTTTCTTCATAGACCGTGATATCACCCGCACTATTCATTCCTAGGTTGCTAACCGACACTACAGGTCATCGCGGCCTACCGCCAAGACTACATAGAACCGACGAGAAACAATGGTACGACTGTCCTCTTCTCCCTGAAGCAACAAGCCATAGTTGCCGAGGTCAAGGGTTCGACGACGTACATGGATGTCAAGACCGCCCGCCCAGTCGACATTCGCACGCTTGGCGGCGGATGGCCCCGACTATATGAAGCATTCACTCAGAAGTCGGAACGTTCGAAGGCACTGAAAGAGAAGTGGGAGAAGGAGCATCCGAAACCTGCAAGGCATGGAGAATCAAAGATGTGAGGAGGGAATGGAGTTGATGTGAAAGAGAAACATTTCCCTCTGTCAAGTCCCGATCGAACCGTTGTTTACACTGAGATAACGAAACGAAGTGTTAAGAAAATGTACCTACTAAGCCATGTATGTTCTTTACCTAAACTGATCTTCCCTGGTTTAAACAGCCCATTTTAAAATACGACGCTACAAGGAGAGTATTATCTCTATCAACTTATAAAAATAACCTCAAGTAACTTTACACGCTTAGCATTAAAAAGATATACCTATCCACTCAAATAATAAAACATCTTAAAAGGACTTTCTGATTTTTAGATATTTTCTTCTTTTTATCTCTATCAATGTTGTTATGGATTAAAGGGATCCATCGTCGAACCCTATTCCGATACAAGGTCCGCCATTTGAAGCTTTGGACGGAATTTCAGGGGCAGTTATGTGGCCCGTGCGTGAATATAGGGGGGCAGAACGCCCCCAATTAATCTAACAGGAACAATTTAATACTTTAAGAAAATGCATGCAATACCACCTATTCATATGGGCTTATGACCGGAGATCGTTCGTGGAGGTGAATAAGTGAGGTGCTGAGGTACATAAATAGGTACTGACTATTTCCCAGCTTCTACTCGGTGTGGTCAAAAGTCGTGTTGATATTGATGTAGCTTCTCACGAGTTTGACAAAGCCTTTTCTATAGATGTACTGTAAATAATTAGCACAGATTGCTTGTTCTATTTAGAGTGATCGAGACTAGCTAGAGAGTATTCTCAGTTGTGTCGAAGATGTTGAAGCTCTCGCTATGAAAAATGATCTGGATGTGAAGGCCCGTCTACTACGCCGCAAAAGAAAATATGCTTTCAATGTATCCAAAAGTCCAAGCCAAGTCAAGAACAACCAGGCCCTCATCCGCTTAATTACAAGCAATAGACATATTATTTACAAACAGTAGTCTGTATGATTGGGGTTAGTCTTCTAGTGCAGGTAGTAGAGCGATCAACCTAATAAGGGGTCTTATAGACTCGGGTAACCTCGGCCACCCACTAGGATATCAGGCAGGGCGGAGGTAGCTTCACTCTAAGTTTAGAATTTCTAACGATTGTGTCAAATTCGGATGTCAATTGCCAAATCAATTAGAATTGGGTTTGTTGGGAATGTTAAGGAAACATCTGTATCAGCCCGTGACATGCTACAGCCATATAAATTGTAGCATTCGCCGATAGCCGGAACCATATGACGACACTAGATCCTTCAGCGTAAATACTGTATCAGTGCGACGTCCATGTGGCTCATGTTAGCTGCATAGGTAGGGTACGTTATTGGACATTGTTACGACGAGGGGGCCAACATACAGCAGTACAAGTGTGAGATGAATTGGCTAACAGGGGTTAACAGTCGAAATTGGAACGTTTGTCCGAACGGTATTCCAATAGAAATATGGCACCGGCGTGTTGTATCCTAATGTTTCGGTTATGACATCATTGTTATCATATACATTTGAGTGCTAACATGATTTACACCTCTGAACAATTAGTTACGTTTCGAGAATTCCTTTACACTTTTCTAACTTGAAAGCTGTCCAAGTCAAGAACATTATTCAAGCGAAGCGATTCACCAACCCTACAAGTCATGCGCGCACTCCGCTACCACGGACCTCAAGACCTTCGATTGGAATATAATATTCACGAGCCTGAATGCCTTCCGCATCAAGTCAAAGTCCGGCCAGCGTTCTCTGGAATTTGTGGCTCAGACTTGCATGCGTACCAATCGCCAACAGTTATCCCTTTCAAAGACGTGCCCCACCCCGCAACAGGTGAGAAATGGCCTATCGTTTTTGGCCATGAATTCTCCGGCGACATTGTCGAGGTGGGATCGGGAGTGCAAAGTGGTCTCCAGGTAGGGGATAGAGTAGCTATCCAACCTACAATCTGCTGTTACAAATGCACTCCATGCAAAGAAGGGTCTATCAACTGTTGCGATATCTTTGGCTTTGTGGGTTTGACGGGCTTGGGTGGGGGATTGTCCGATTTTGTCTCCGTAGATGCTAAGTTTGCGTTTAAGCTCCCGGACAATGTCCCGACTGACATAGGAGGTAAGCATATGGACACTACGGCGAGAGCCTTGATCTAACTTCTGAAAGCGTTGGTCGAACCACTCGCGGTCGCGTGGCACGCTGTTGGACAGACAGGTATCAAGCCAGGGGACAGCGCGCTCGTCATGGGTGCCGGGCCAGTTGGTCTGGCAGTCATACAATGTCTCAAAGCTCGACAAGCGAAAAAGATCATCGTGGTAGAGATGGAAAATGGGCGGAAAAAGTTCGCAGCGCGATTTGGGGCCACTACAGTCATTGATCCGCAGGAGGAAGATGTAGTTGTTAAATGCAAGGAATTGTGCGATGGACAGGGGCCGGAATTCGCGCTGGACTGTGCAGGCGCTGCTGTTAGCATCAAGTCCGCGAGTTTGGCTATACGACATAAAGGACTGGCCGTAAATGTGGCGTTATGGGAAAATGAGGTCCCCTTCCACTTCAACTACTTGATGTTGGGCGAGAAGAGGTTTGCTACATGTAAGTTGCCTATCCTGATATACTTCGAGTACCTATTCGCTAACGCTAGTAGCGGTAAGTTATGCAACAACAGACTTTAAGAATGTCATCGAAGCACTGGGGAATGGATCGATAGATGCCAGGGGAATGGTTACTCGCAAGATCACGATGGATCGGGTGGTTGAGGATGGGTTTAATGCACTTATACACGAGAAGGACAAGCAAGTGAAAATTCTTGTAGACGTAAGGGCGTAGAGGCGTACGGCTTAAAGCTTGTATTCTGGAATCTCGATTTTACTACCACGTGTGTTGAGAAGTCTCTAAGAAGAAGAGATATAATAAAGTAGCTCATATTGCTCTAACATCTTGTGAAAGGGTGGAAAAAAACCAACATAAAAAGGGGGAGGGGCACGCATGGTAAATAGGTACCTAGGTACCTAGTTGATCACGTTCTCACGTAAGCATGGTGGGGTAGTCACGTTGGGGTCAATCACCACACAGGGCACCAAGTGGAACATAGACCTCCCTAGGAAAATCGATACCAGTCAATCAACTAGCATCTCTAGCTTCTAGCCCTTATAGCTCAGTGGTAGAGCGCGTCACTCGTATCACGTGATCTGCGAAATGACGAGGTCCATCGTTCAATCCGGTGTGGGGGCAGTAAAACTTTAATTTCAATTTTTGAAGGTTTGTTTAATTTTTGCCGATTTCCCATTTTACTTGTACCTCCTAAAGTGGACCATTCCAAGGAAACCGCTAACCCACCAAAACATAAAAATTGATTATATAATTATCAGTTAGCATTGTGGTTAGCATAGCAGTATGGTATGGTGATGGCCAGTATAGGAAGTATGCGCTATGCTCCCTATATTTATAGCGCACTTCAGTGCATAGTCTCGCGCTATGTCGTTATTTCTCCATGTTATGTAATCACTTCTCATATTATGTAATCCAGCTTTTAGCGCTAAGCTCCCCTATTTATAGCGTACCTCAGTGTGTAGTAAGATTATGTGTGGAGGGTGGGCGGTTTCAAGAGAAATGGCCAGCCATCGTACCAAGCATGTAACTTTCACACATTCTACAGTAGTCCTTTAGGAAGGAGGAGAAAACAAATCACCCTTGCTAAGAGTATACTGGAATCTACCCAATGTTCACGCCTTTACCAACAATTAGTTTTCAAGAATATAACTTCCAAGCCCATTGCGCTGGCCATCAGATGTCTGACATACAATTTAGCGCAATCTTTCAATACAGTTTTACTTTAAAAATGCAAATTATTACTGGTAGCCTAGTGCCATGGAAGGTGATAACTAAAATCATGACTCTTTAATAGTCAGCTACGATTGACGTGCCTTGAATAGAATTGAAAAATACCCTTTGGTAATGACTGAGGGAACTATGCGTATAGTCCAGCATCGTAATTCCTCCTAACATATTACCTTGATCCTCCACAGTCTAATTTGTGACGATTCAGTCGGTAAATGGGCAGGATAGGGAGGCGCACGGAAGAGATTGGTTAAAGAAATTGATAATAAATGGCTTTCTCAAACAGGAATGATGATATATATATTTGTAGCTCTATTGAGGACGGCTTCATTCGATTTTCCTCCCTTCAATGCCCATACATACCTATATACTGAGTTGTACCCGCCGGAGACGAACAGTAATACATATATGCAGTATTTTTTCCATCGAGTCTTCTATACATACTAATATTGTATGTAGTAGAGCAAAGAGAGGAGACTCTAGGTTTTAGTTCGGGATGACGGTTCTTGCCTGACAGTTATTCCACTGCACTACATTGCCATCCTGAAAATATTGCCAGAAGCAAGACTAGGTCAACTAGATACAATCCTTTTACCAGTAGTCAATTCATGATTATAGTCTACCTACTATAATGAGAGTACCTCGAAACCTCTCTAACGAGACCAGTACACTTCAATCATCATCATTATTGCTATTGTTGCCTTCAAATCAAGATCCTATAAGACCAAATCGTTACACGTGTGAACATAAGGTCTGCTTGGAAGGGCAGAGGACTTATCAAATCTTGAAAACTTAAGCTATTCACTACCTACGCAGTGGACTCCATGCTAACTCGCCTATTCTGCATTATAAAACCAGGGTCCAGATACTGCATGAACCCAATGCATTGTTAAGTCATGATCATCCAGTAACTAGAAGCGAGACACAAAAGAGGGGATTGCCAGAATCATATGCTCTACACAAATTCAAGGCAAGCCCCTCGTATTAGGCAAAGATAATCAATAAGAGTAATATTGTGGCAATCGCCATCATTCAGTCGTAATAGCTACCATGTACACATTCATCGGTAGCTACTGGCTTTGATACGATTTCCAACCGCCAAAGGGTACGTACTTGAGCCATGTACATATCCTAATCAGTGATTCGAATCATGCACACACGCTTACCTAGTTTCGGCGACATCCCTCCTTTTCTGAGAAGCATTTGATCTCATAACGGATCGCGCCTTCCTATACACCATACATTACCTCTACGTACCGATTTTTTGCTTGCTGATCCTTGCCTTCCAATCCTCACTTTTGTTTTCTATATAACACCGTCCGTCCCCTCGCGTTCAAACCCATCCCATCCCATCCAGACAACAATTTTCACTTTCGTACACCAACTTAAGTATCGCCTATCTGCCAATACTTCATAGACGATACTCTCATAAGGCTTTTTGTCTTCACAAGATTACCAATATTGTGTTATACTCCATAAGCCTACTATACAACTCTTTTGTTGTACTTCCTCCCACCTACACCTACCATCACCCTTCGATCTCATTACACTCCTTAACTCAACTCGTGCACAAGGCTTTTGGCCTTGTCCAACGTTAGTATTAAACCACAACTATAACTCTCATTAACTTATTTATTACATAAAAGACTAACAAAGCTACTTGTTAACAGTTCAAAAATGTCTTCCCAACCCACTGCCAATATGGCTCCTCCGTCTACTTTCACCATTCCCCATCATTCCAACCCTGTCCTTGAGGCTATTATCGACAAGTATTCTCCTCGTAGGGAAGACAATCAACAAACTCGTGAAGACAAGGCCCAAATTGTCGAAGCGGTTCTCAAATTGTGGAACGGTCGCGCGAAACCAACACAGATAGGGGAGAACTGGAAGATCCACGGCATGGATTGTACTTTGTACACCCATCAGCTCATAGGAGTCAACTTCATGGTGGAGCGTGAGAAGTCAAGCCAGGGACCGCAAGGTGGACTCGTCGCGGATACCATGGGCCTAGGAAAAACGGCTCAGGTCGTTGGGTGCATTGTTACCCGCAAGAATACGGAACGTGACGGGCGGATTATGAACTTGTGGGTTGTGCCGAGAGATGCCCATGAGCAGTTGGAGAAGAACATCAAGAAGTTCATTGCAGACAGACGACCGGAGACTCTCGTCAACATCAAGTGCCTTAAGGCGGGAATGTCTAAGCGTCAGAAAGATGAGGCATTGAAGCCTGACAACAAACGCATCAATATCATGTAAGTTATATATTTGAGCACATGGCTAAAACGGGACTAACATATTGCAGACTTGCCAGCTATGATGATGTTCGAATCGGCATTGAAAAGAAAATCCTCCATGAAGCTATCACAGAGAATCGTGATGTGGAATCTATCGACAAGCGTGACGAGGAGCGCTTTGGTGTGCTGCACCGAACGAAGTTCCTGCGTGTGATCTTGGACGAGGCTCATAACATCAAGAATCACAAATCCCAATGTAAGCCAAGAGCAACTGAGCTTAGGATTTTCACTAACGAACCTATAGCCGCCGTTGCTTGCTACTCCCTAGATTCGAAGTATCGTTGGGCTATGACGGGTACGCCTATTGTCAATGAGCTTGCCGGTAAGTATAGCGATCTTGTGTTTTCAGTATCATGCTAACTTCTCCAAGATGTCTTCTCGTACCTCCATTTCATTCAACATGATCAGGCCGACAGCTTTCATCAATTCAAGGAAAGCTTCCTTGTGCAGGTTAGTACGAAAGAACGAAGACCTGAGAGCGCATTCTTATATACGGTGTGACAGGGCGGTCTCGATAGTCTGAAAAAAGTTGTTGGAAGTGTGATGATCCGACGGTATGTTTGCATTCTTCTCATACCTATAGAAACAGTCATAAACTAACAATGAAATCATAGAACCCAGAGAGACACGCTCTGTGGCAATCCATTGCTTCCATTGCCACAGGCACATCGAGAGAAGCTCATTGTAGAGCTGAAGCCGGACGAGATGTTCTTTTATAAGTAAGGAGTTATTCGCCAGTTTGTTGTACGATATTGACTAACCGATGCGAAACAAGGAAAATGGAGAGAACGCTGCTAGACAGGATCGAGACTGAAGACAAACCAGACTACCAGAAGGCCCTAACTCGCATCGTCCGACTGCGACAATTGACCACCCACCCCTTCCTTCTCGAGCACATGAGGCAATTCCAAGAGGAGCGTGCAATTCTTTTCCACTTGTGGGACAATATGATACGCTCTTCCAAACAACGCAACAATGTTGATGACTTGGTCTACTACCTGTTCTCACAGTCCAAAGACAGCCGAGAATTTGCAGTCCCGCCTGTCGGTGATGCGCTAGGCCGAGAACCAGAACTTCCCTTTAGAGCGCATCTACTCGGACGATATGACCACGACGAGAAACTAAAGCAAGAGCCTCCCCCAATATTCGGAAATGCCATGGGTGTCAAGCCGGAGGAAATGGTCCAAATGGACGTAAGCGCCAAGATAGATGCCGTCCAGTCATTAATCGAGAAATGGCAACAACAAGCACCCGACGACAAGATCATTATTTTCACTCAGTACACCATGAGTGCCAAGATTGTCGGTCGCATCTTGCAACGACTGAAGCTCAAGTACTTGTACTATGTTGGGACCCTATCTCAAGTTGAGCGCAACCAAGCTGTCGATGCTTTCAAGGACGCAAAGCTTAACATCAAGGTGATGGTAAGTGTACGCTTGGCTATTCGTGTGTCGCAAGAATACTGACAGTTAAATCTAGATTGTCTCGATCAGGACCGGAAGCGTGGCATTGGATCTCATGGTGGCCAACCGAGTCATCATCCTCGAGCCGTGGTGGAACACCAGCCTCGAGGACCAAGCCTTCGGCCGTGTCTATCGCCACGGACAGACCAAAGAAACACACTTGGTTCGCATCATAGCCAAGGACACGATCGACTACAGAATCGTGACGCTGCAACAGCAGAAAATCGACATAATTGAACGAATGCTCGAAGAAGTTCCCGAGTTGGAAGTCGTTAGTGGAACGGATAATTCCCCTCTGGACGATGCAGCGGAAGTTGTTGGTGAGGATCTCGTTCAAGAGCTCCTGGGAATGAACCTCGTAAACAACAACGGTGATGTTGATGAAGTTGACGATGATGATGACGAGGTCTAATCATGGTTATCCCCATGAAGAGTCGTCATTGAATTGTGCTTCCTGCAAGTGTCCTGCCTGTCTCTGGTTTTTTCCTCTCGGTTACTTGTTACTGGTTCCCATTTTCCCCTTTCCCCTTTTCCCCATCCCCCTTTTCCCCACCCCCCCCCCCCCCCCCCCCCCCACTCCCCACCCCCCCCCCCCCCCCCCCCCGGTTTGTGTGTGGTCGGCCTGTGTGCTTGGTTT